CACACACAAGTGGTAAATAACGAAATACACATTAAGTCAGGAAACAAAAAAAGAAGCATAAAGTTTGTCGGAACACACACACACACACACACACACACACACGCACGCACCTCTGTCATGTGTCCATATGTTAATTAAAGTTTGCGTTAATGACACGCTGTCTGCTAGAGAGGACACATGCGCGCACATACACGCAATATTTTTTAATTGATTTTGGTTGCAATTATTCCATAGCAACACTTGGACTGACACAAGCTCGCTCGTCTGAACCGGGTGACATCTTTTCAATGTTTCCATTAATAACAACTTGTCTTTTGGACACACTCGCGATTCTGTTGCTTGCGTAAATGTTTTTTTCTTTTTTTGAAAGATGTGCGGGCGGAGGACCGATGACGGAGGGAAGAAGTGTTTACGAACAATCAGGAAGTGTGTGAAGGGAGGAAACAAACCGGAAGTGTGTGAAAGAAGGAAAATGGATGGCGAGATTACCTGGCGGACGAGAGAGAGGGACAGCCATTGTGACACTCCCTAATGCCATTTCCAAAGCAATCTGCTAAGTGCACCAAAGTGTGTGCGTGTGCGTGTTCGCAGGCATCCAATAATCTTGTTGGCGACGACAACATCCCGCTCCCCGCATCTACCTCTCCATCACCTTCGATCCTTGCTAGTTAAAAAAATCCACATTCTTTCGGCGAGTTTTAGTGGTGGTGCCAAAGCTTGTCGTGCGATCCTACGTAGCGCGACAATAGTCGCCTTTCTGTGACATCATCAGTGTGCCCCGCTGTCCAGGCATGACCAGTCGATCCACACGACATTCACGTTACAGTACAGTATAAGCACAAATTGATTAGTCATGCCAAAACATGACATTCTGACTGTGTAATAACTGCTTCTTTCGGTATTAAAGTTCAGAAAAACTCACAAAATAATTCAAACTAAATAAAACAAACACATTGAAAACAAGTGTGCGTAAAAAAAACGACAACCAACTGAAACTAACTACAGTATAGTTTTAGGAAAAATGGCATTAATTTTCGTCCTTGTCAATTAATATTATACATACATAAGCTTTTGGGGTTCATTTAGAATGGATTTTTTTTCACTTTACTATAGGGCCATACAGAAGAAGGGTTGAACCGTTGTTTGGGAATTGTTTACTTTATAACACAGTATTTAGTGACTTTTTTAAATCTTGCACTCAACAAATATGACATTTATGGGCAAAAAACTAAGACTAAGACTAAAACGAATACAAACTAAACTAAAAGAACCCCCCCCCCAAAAAAACACTCTAAAAACTAGTTAAAATGAACTGAATCCAAAAAAAAATTACAAGTCAAAACTAACTAACGATACTAACTAACTATAATGAACAATCCAAAACTATATCCAACCCTCCCCTTGGTTTCACAGTACTGTACTGTACTTGCAATCACAGCTCTAAAATTGATAATTTTGAAAAGTTTGGGGAAATAACTTTTTTTTCTATTGAATGCGCTCAATAGGAACATCCGTACAGTCAGCAGATGGTGAACATTTGTAAACATAAAACTAAGCATTGAAACAAAACCATAACTTATGAAGGTCCGCTAGCTTTATGCTAGCACAAAATGCAAATCACCTTAACGAAACGCTGACGAAGCCAGCATCGATGCAACGGCTATTTGACCACAAACCATCAGCAAAACACGTAGACTGACTATAGAAATGGCATACAGTCTTTACCATCCATCAAAACTCACTAATTTTACTGCAGCTCACTGAGTCACTTAGTTGTGAAACTCTTCTTAGTTCATTTTGACTGTCAGCATTATACTGCGTTTGAACTCCGATCCTTGCGTGCTAAACGTCATCTTCGGACCAAGACTTAAGTGCCTGACTATTAACATCTAAAGTCTCTCTCTCTCTCTCTCTCTCTCTCTCTCTCTCTCTCTCTCACACACACACACACACACACACACACACACACACACACACACACACACACACACACACGCACACACACGCACACACACACATACACACACACCAAGGGAGAGTGGATCAGTTATTTTCCACGGTGCAACGAGTCAGATTTCTTACTTTGATCTTCG